ACACCTCGATTTACACACCACTGCCTGAGAACGACACCTCGATTTACACACCACTGCCTGAGAACGACACCTCGATTTACACACCACTGCCTGAGAACGACACCTCGATTTACACACCACTGCCTGAGAACGACACCTCGATTTACACACCACTGCCTGAGAACGACACCTCGATTTACACACCACTGCCTGAGAACGACACCTCGATTTACACACCACTGCCTGAGAACGACACCTCGATTTACACACCACTGCCTGAGAACGACACCTCGATTTACACACCACTGCCTGAGAACGACACCTCGATTTACACACCACTGCCTGAGAACTACACCTCGATTTACACACCACTGTCTGCGAATTACACCTCGATTTACACACCACTGCCTGAGAACTACACCTCGATTTACACACCACTGTCTGAGAACTACACCTCGATTTACACACCACTGTGTGAGAACTACACCTCGATTTACACACCACTGTATGTGAATGACACCTCGATTTACACATCATTGTGTGTGAATTATACCTCAATTAGGTCGATTTCATAAAGATTTTAAATAAAGAGAAAACTGAGTCTAGATCCATGTCCTGGTGGTTAAGGGAGCGGATCCCACATGGCCCGCCATGCAGTTCAAGTCCAGCCTCAGCAGCTGGAAGAACAGCAGGCGCGTGTGCGTGCACGCCCCAGATCCCGGTGGGGAGAGACAGCGGCAAAGGCAGTGCAGGGTGACTGTCCTCCAGGGCGGGGCTCGTGCTCTCCCACCCCCTCCCCCCTCTCTGGCAAGCCCACATGCCCTGTGGCATTTTTAAAAAGAACAGAAAAATATTCACACACGAAAAGGAAAGACAGAAAGGAAGGAGGGACTCGGACTTTTACACACCCGTGTTCAGGCCAAAGGGTGGGAGGGCTGTAGGCAGGTGCGTGCCGGACATAGCGTGGGCTTCCAAAGGCACACTGTCGCCCTCCAAGGAGGCGAGCCCTGGGACGTCACGCCAAGGGAAGGAAGCCAGACACAGAGATCCACTGGATGACCGCACGGGCGTGCCTGCGGAGCCGAATGCAGAGCAGAGCAGGCCAGTGGTCCTGGCGGCTGGGCGTCTAACAGACAGGTGCTTCAGCCGGGGACCGGGGAGGGGGCACTTAATGCTGCACGACCAAATACTTCAAAATGGCTGAGACAAGGCTGGCAGGTGGCGTGGTGGTTAAGGGCGCTGGACTCCCACATGGCTGACCCCAGTTCGAGTCCCGGACCTGGTGGCTTACTTTCTCACTTTCCCTCTGTCTCCTTCTCTCTCTCTCTCACTCTGTCTATTAAAAAATAATAATTTAAAAATATGTCTGAAACGATAGTTTTTGTTGTATTCATTTTGCACAACAAAAGAGGCAGACAAGGAGTTTTCAAAGAGG